ATTCTCTTGGGTAAACATTTTAATTAATTGTGTGTCTAACAACCTGACTGCATATAAACTGCATTAGACAATTTATTAAAATGTTGAATATTCACATTTGAACTGTTAGACCTCAACTAACTGCTTCAGAAAAATCTTTATTTAGTTTTGTTCAGAAGTATTCTTATAGAGCCTTACCTTGAATGTTATTCTGCTGCTCTGCACTTGCTCTGATGGTTTTAAAGGGATAACGGAGTCGAGGCAATTCATCAGTAGACCACAAACTATTCGGGGGTGTGCCTACAGCCGCTGGGGTCTATATATTGAGATGTTTTGTCCGGTGGCTGTATGTGAATCAGATGCTGTCCAGGGAAAACTTACCGTCACATTAGGGCAGCGCACTTCCTCACTTTATGCTTTCAGACGCCACAATGGATTCCTGTTTTCGCGCACTTTGCATGACTTTTGTTCTGGCATCGTCAGGTGCGGTTGGACCGGTGATCAGATGCGAGCCCTGTGATGTTGGAGCGCGGCTTTTGTGCAAACCTTTACCCAAGGACTGCGCCGAGAATGTCCCAGAACCGGGCTGCGGCTGCTGCATGACCTGTGCGCTGAGCTCCGGCCAGCCGTGCGGCGTGTACACCGGGAGATGCGGCTCCGGACTGACATGTCAGCGGCAGCCCGGGGAGCCGAAGCCTCTGCAGGCTCTGCTGGACGGGAGGGGGACGTGTGCAAACGCTACTCATAAACGACTTACCGCCAGACCAACACCTCCCGTCAATGAACTGCCAGGTAATTCATACAACTGTTCCATGCTTCAAATGTAGACCATAGATGCTTTATAATTGTGAAATTATAACTATACATTTGTGTCACCATCTTTAAACAAAAAACGTGTAATCTTAAAAGTGAGTAGTTTAGTATTTCATGTACATTTTTGCCAGTTATCAAGTTATAATTAATTCCAATTCCATGGCATAACATGAGAGTAAATGCAACTCAAAGCTGGATTTACTTATTTATTTCACTCAGAAAATGCTCTTCATCAATGTAAAGACAAGGTGGAGAATGAGACATTTGAAGAATATGGAGTTTTTGGAGAATTTGATGGTGCATATAAAAGGTGCAACTCAATGTGAAGACCTGAATTGGAGTACCTTGACTAGGTATCTCTATTCAGCTTATACATTTAAAGGAAAGAGACTACAGGGATTCAAATTAATGGTAGAAACACTTTGGTGGTAGTTATTTGACATATTTCTGTTCATTTCCTTCCAAAATGGAAAGATGTATATATATATATCCTCATGACACTCAAGGTGACCTCCTCCAGCAAGAGTATATCTGTGTGTACTGTTGTGTAATTAAACACATGTTGTTCTCAAACTTCAGCAGATCATTTTGAAACTCTGGATGAGGAGCAAAATTGCACCAACTTAGGCCTTCAGACCTCGTCCATCACCCACAGACCCCAGAGACCTCCACTTCACAAATTTTTCCCCTCTGCCAAGTCAGAGGTCCTGCGACGGGAGCAGCAGAAGAGAACCCAGAGCTTTAAAATGGAGGAGCTCCCGGGACCACTCATCACAGACCAACAAAACTTCTCTCTGGAGACCAAACAGGAGCCCGATTATGTAAGCACCACAACCAATTTTGAATGTCTTCGTAGCATACTAGAGGAATGTTTTTCTCCTCTTCCTCTGTGTTTTGGTGTTGTTCCCCTCTTGTGGGTGATGAAATGTTTTTGGTAGCGGTGCTGGGGGTTGGCAGGCATCGTGCGCAGTAGAATGGCATGGCAGCGAGCGGGTACGATGGCCCTGCGGCTGACCTGGGTCAGGCGGTTGTTTGGCCACAAGGCGTCCGCGTGCCGGGTGTACTGGGAGCCAGCAAATGATGGATTGGCCTATGTGAGTGCCTGTTGGGAAGCCCTGCTGCTATTTTGATCTTGTCTTTGGCCAGAGAAGTGAGCACACACTAGTAATGGGCTTTGACTGGCTGCTTTGATTAGTGACTGGAGTACTTGGACTTTAGGACAAGCCTTTTGGCTCCCACTTTGAGCCCTTTGAATTCACTTTATCCACCATCCTTTGTGTAAAGTGTAAGAGTTATAAGCAGCTTTGGTAAAATGTTAAGCCGCTGCAAGTCGGTCAGATGAATTAATTTCTATTCCGGCACCCCTTTCATATTGCAGCCACTATTGTTCAGGTATTACGGCAGATCAGTGTGTGGTGCAGCTCTCTAAACGTCTTTATTTGAAGAAGAAAATTGAAGAAAACTGTTTGTCTATTCCTTCCCTCATCTGCAGGGTCCCTGTCGGAGAGAGATTGAGAGCATTCTCAGCAGCCTCAAGATCACAGACATTCTCAACCCCAGAGGTTTCCGCATACCAAACTGTGACAAGAAGGGCTTCTATAAGAAAAAGCAGGTAAAAAGCACATTCAAAACACCATCATTTGATATTCACTCTATGCTTATAAATCCCTGCATCCATTTCATGAGAGCCTACACATATACTTCATAAAACCTTTCAATTTGTTTACAACTTTTGTACAAGGCTGTAAAAAGGAAACCCACATTTCCCTTTTTACATGCTGCATTTATAAAGGTTCATGCTGAAGTCTAGTGACTCAAACTTTAGCTCTCCTGCAGCCCAATTACAGATTTGTAGCTGTCCTCCTGTATTCATTGGTAGTCATTAGAGCCTCATCATTGCACCACCACACCAGTGAGGTAGACCCCAGCCACTGGCTCTGGAGACAGGAACCACAGGGGCCAAACCCCAGTGGGGTTGACGGCTGGGACGATGGCCGTTTAACGGGAACCCTCCCAGGGAGACAGACGTCAAGGTGGCCACCGGCACACGATGCGCTCCCCCCATAATTGCTGGACTTTTGAGAAGCCTGCACAGAAATAGAGCTGCAGCCATCCCCACGCTCACATGGTTCACCCACGATCGGGTTGTAATAAATTAGTGGTTCTGACGCATTCATATGGAGGCACTTAGGGCCTCCGCGCCACTGCATCACAACGCAGCTTTTCTAACATAGCAGTCCCTTCTGCTTAATGGAAGTGTTCTCCTTTACCTGCAATCATCTCATAATCACAACGCCAAGCTCATTGTCTTTGTTTATATAGAATGAACTTACTGTACCTCTGCTCATTTGCATGTTTTGAAGCAAAAGCATCCCTTATTACAGCTCTTAAAAACAGTTAATACAGAGGACAGATGTAATGCTGGAAGCAGATTAACTTTTTTCTGTTAACTATGAAAACAACAACAGTTTTTCCTTTAATAAAATCGTAAGACTCTTGCCTTACAGCTAATATTTGATATAATAATGATTTTTTCATCCTCCATACCGCCGATAAAATATGTTATCCCCCATTGACCCCCTCCCACTTGTTATGCAACAATGATCTAAAACAAGAGAGTCCTTTTGCTAACTAAATACGGATGTCTTCCTTCCTGATCAGCTCTGCCTCCTCTGTGGAGCAGCAGCACTGTTGCTTTAGCCCCTGAAATGAATGGCTGCATGTTTTACCAGAGTGGAGGTTGACCTTTAGTTAAATTGGCAGTACAATAACAGCCCTTGGGTAGCTCCACAGACTCTGTAAGTCATTTGTAGTACCCATAATTTGGAGCTGTGGGGTATAATCAGCAACAGATGATTCGTACTGGCCACCAGCTTCTGAAAATAGATCTTGGTTCTCAGTTGTTCACAAACGGGACTAAGCAAATATTTTACCAGGTTTCTGTTTACCTTAAAGGTCTCTATATATGTGTGTGTAACAGGAGGTAGACCATAAAAGCAGCTCAAAATACCACAGCGTGTCGGATAACCAAGGCTGCGTCGACTCAGCACAATCTGACCATTAATGCCTCTTAACTATTACTGTTCTCCTTCATTGAGTAAAGTGGCTTGTTACTCATAATGCTTCATATTCAACTGTATTTACACATTTAGCTGCCCCCCCCCCCCGACTTATTTCTCTTCCCTCCCTTCACCTTGTCCCTTCCTTTACTTTCAGTGCCGTCCATCCAAAGGCAGAAAGCGAGGCTTCTGTTGGTGTGTGGACAAATACGGGCAGCCTTTGCCAGGTTTTGATGGGAAGGAGCGAGGAGACGCCCAGTACTACAACTCCGAGAGCCAATAGGAGCAAAGCAGGATGGAGGGAGGTTGGGTGGGAGTGAGAGCAAGAGGAATTGTAAACAAATGGAGACACTGAAGATATTGGGAGAGAGGTCAAGAGATGGCTCGGCCGATAAATGGATGTTTGCTATTTCTATCTGTTGCCTTTGGGACCTTTTTCTGAGGCAGAGCAAGGGGAACAGAGGAAGAGTATTAGGAGGGGGAAGAAAGCCCCTGTGTCACAGATACTGTGTTTTCTGTGATGGATGGATTCTACATAAGCTTTCTGTCTCAGACACAACCAGAATGACTTCTAATGAGAGGATGCGCCTCTCAGACGCCCTATTCTGACTATAAAGAAAGAGACATTTGTCACGAACGTGGACGAGATGGCTCTTCATTCACGCACAATTAAGTGGCATTGCACGCATGTACATGCTTGTGATTTGTTTGAAAGACATTGTGTGTATGTATGTATATGTTATTCAGAGTAAGCATGCAGTGCCTTACTATGACTTCCTTTTTTTCCAGGTTGCTTCCTGCTCCTCAGGGAGTTGGACTAGGCTGTGCAGCTCAGACATTTGATCTGATCTGCGGTTATTACTGTTATGTTGTCACTTTGCATAAGCTGATATTTTTGGGATAAAGGCCACAAATTGTTATCTCTGACCTCTGTGTAGCCAGTGATTATTTTCATCACTTGCTCATTCACTAGTAAATATGCTGTTTGCATGTACAATGCAACCCTCAGAGGTCTATTTTTACTTAATAAAGGCAGTATAAAATGATCCAGGTATTGTATTTTTTTTCTCTTCAATTTGCCTTTTCTTGCTTTAAGTGTGTATCGAACTTTTATGGCAGTTACACAGTAAAACAGTAAAACATGACTTCATCGTGATTAAATAACATTTAATTAGGTGCACATCCAAAGAATTATAATAGTATATACATTGTTTCTACAAAACCCATAATGGAATAGCAGCATTTCTGGCAAATAGCATTCACAAACAATGTGGTTCAGTGCACATGCGCTCTGAACACTGAAGTGAATCATAATAAATACTTGAATAGATGATGGAAAGAAATAAAAACCAGGTGAGGAATGTGTAGCTGAGAAAAAATCCCTCAGAAATCTTCTGCTAAACCTGTGGACCTGCAGAGACTAGTAGAGGTAGAGAAATGCAGAACAACCCATCCCAACCTCATGGTGGCTTGGATGAGCCCTGATATGTTTGTGCTTGGCCTCCATGTGCATACTTGTGGCACTTTAAGTATTTCCCCCAATACCCATTGAGGAAAAGCCAATGGAGATACATTCAGACAATGTCAACACGTTGAATGAATGAGCGGCTGTGTTGTTTCTTGCCGCGCACAGCTCCAGTTTTGAATGAATTATAAAAGAAGAAACTGATCCTGAAGACTCTGAAATGGGCTTGGCAGGGCTGTTGACCTGTGGTTTTGAGCAATGGAGTTATTTAGTTAGAAACACAAATGTATACAGTGTTGCCCTATTTACAATCGCAAAAAAAAAATGGGCAAACATATAAAAAATCTAAAAATGACAAAATGGTTAATGCTTGTAAGAATAAATAAGTCTTGATACATAGATCATTTAAATAAAATGAGAGGAAATTTCCCCCTCTGAAATAGCTTTTTCTTACATTTAGTGTGAATGAGTGTGTTTTATGAAAGGAAGTCACTTCATCAGTAAATTGACACTTTCACTTGATGAAACATGTTTCCTTATGTCTATTTGTGTTCGTAAGTGATTTTATGGATGATAACAGAGTCTATCATTTAGTGGGTGACTTCTTGGTGACACTCTGATGAGTCAGCCAGCAGGTCACTGGTTCCTGGGAGCTTCTTCCCATTCCAGGAAGAGACACACCAGCAGCGAGCGGGCGGTCCGACCAGGGATGACTCACACTGGGAGAGAAACAGAGATGGGTAACCGCATGAATAAATCGTCCAGTTGGATGAGTCTATTTTAACAGGTGGAATGATTTTTGAATCTTGTGTAATCCTTAAGTTCTCACCTGCTTGGATTTGTAGAAGCCATGCTTATCACAGTTGGGGAGGTAGAAAGTTGTGAACCTCTCTCCTAGTTTCTGCTGAGAGCTGGAAATCATGTCCAGGGCTGCATGCAGTTCAATATGACAGGGACCCTGTGCAATAACAAGAAACAAGAACAACTGTAACAACCATGTATAAACAGAAACACTATATTGACTGCAGTAGATAGTATTCATTATTACTCTCTTAAAAATCCACAGCTCTTAAAAAACCAAGTCCTCCCTCTAGTGGTAGGAAAGCAAATCACATGACATCATCTTCATCAGTCAGGTAAACATGTTTGCTCACCTGTTGATCCAGTTTGTTACGGATGGCATTGACCCTGGCCGTGATGCTCTCTTGGCTCTCAGCAGTGTCCTGGTCCAAGGGAAGGTTAAGACCCAGCAGGTAGTGCAGGGAGCCATGGTCAGGGACATCACCTTCCCCTGTAGCAGTTAAGAAAACCATATCATTTATCAGAAATGTTTTTTGTGTTTCTTGGAGGTTACATTTGGCCATTTTCAGATTTAGAAGTAGCAAATGAGCAGAAAGAGAAATTCATGAAACCATGAGTCTACCTTGATCCTCAGTGCAGACCCCCTGTCCTCTGGTCAGAGCGTGGAGCGGCATGGCCTCATCGGGCCTCGGGGAGCAGCGGAGACCCTCTCCACAGTGGGCCGTGTGGACCCCGCAGGACGCCCCCTTCTCCAGAGCGCAGGCCATGCAGCAGCCACATCCCGGCTCCCTTAGCACCTGCCTGCAGTCCACAGGGATGGCAGGACAGTCGTTGAGTCTCTCCTGTGAGCAGGGGGCACAGCGGATGGGCTCCGGTCCCACCACGGGGGACGACCTCACCACGGCCAAGACAGCCAGAGCCACCGCTGCCACCCAAATCAGCTTCTCATATAATCCAGGCATCTCCAGTCTTCAGACAAATATACTCTTCGGTTTGGTCTTACCTTTAGACCTGCTCAGTCTAACTGTACTTTTTTTTCTAAACTGATTTCCCCGAACTAGCAGTAGGTCTATTTATGTGGACCTCTGGCCTCCGGAGGCGTTAATGATTGACAGATATAAAATGTGTTTTTACAAAGCTGCTTCAAGCGGTGGATGACCCTGCCTGACGTGCGTGGCTCCAGGTTCACGAGGTCTGTAGTCAATATTGACTTTGGAACACAAAGTGATTGTACATCAAAACAACCCTGTTTTTGACAGGAAAATACTGATCTTTGTGTTATGCCTTTTAAGTAATGAAAACAGTTCAAGTAATATATGTTTTAAGTACTTATGGCTAACATCCACAACTACCCAGATAATCCAAAAGCTTAAAGTATATGATATGTCTGGTGATTATAATGGTTTGATGTTGTTGACAAACTGTTATGTTGTGAAGTAAGGCTGACGTATTGTGCTTTGACACCGTTTTCAAACTTAAACCCTATTTGTCACTTGATGTGTCTCTTATCAGGCAGACAGATAAACAAGATCATTCCCCTTAAAGCGTTGCATAACCCCAACATCATGGATTGCTCTGCTGGATGCACAACATGTTTGTCTGAAGAAAGATGGTAGTAACCGGTTGTTTCCTAGGTGTAGTATTTGTCATAGTTTATGTATGGCAAATGGATCACTCATACTGTGTACGACCCAGAGATTTTCATTTTCTAATTTGTTGTTTTTGAACAGAACTGATATACTTCCCACTTACTCAAAATGTATTGTTTGGTACTAGATTCTGCATGGACTGTAATGAGGCTTCAACCAGGAAAGACCTATATAGTAATACATATTATTTATGATTATTATTCAGTATTATTAATATTGCTCCGATAATTCAAAATATGGGAAAAACAAATTGTGAACATTTTACTTACTTAACTACATTTGATTGTCATAGAAGTGACATATTGAACCAACAGAATCAATATAAGGCTAATATTGTGCCTTTTTAGTTTGAATACAGTATACACAGGGTTTAGGATTATTTTATTTTGAACAACTAATACATTTAAGCACTGCTTACCGGATGAGTAAACATACAGTAATATTTTTAAACTGTACTCCTGGGGCATTTCTCTAATTATCTTCACTTTTGATAAAATAAAACACTAGTCCTTGCACTTGAGTACACATTTTAATGCAGGAGGTTTATTTGTCAGAGTGTTTTTACATTTTGTTTTTTAAAAACACAATTTTTTGGGTAAATTAAATTGGGTGTGCATGAGGAGTGACAGCCTTTCTCAAATGTGATGTGTGCAGATATGACTGGTATTTATTTTGTTGTTTCTACATCATGAAACATCATTTTAATAAAGTAAATATAACTAGAGACACACTTGCCAAAGAGGTCATCAAAAAAAGAGCCATAAAACTCTACAAGAACAAAATGTGATTTTGACTAAAAAATAAACACATGTTTCTCATCATCATGCAGAAACATGATGTACAACGCTTGTTAGTATGCCAAATTATTTTACCTTTAGAACACATTTTTTGATAATAACAAAAATGAAAGTGTGACGGTGAGCGTTACTCGACCACCAGCTGGTGAGTGGTTGCCTCTTCAATGTTGATCATCAGGTCTACCAGCCACTTAGGAAACCTCTGCTCCTTTGAGGATATTGGTAATGATAAAATACATTCATCAGTTTTCTTTTTAATACTTAAAAAAAAAATTGTTTCAAATGTACACGCACAGCCTTAGACACCTTCTTGACTCTCTTCCTGGTTCTCTTCTTTTGCACTGACTGTTTAGGTGGTGTGTGTTTTGGCCATTTAACCTTGGAGACCTAAAACAATAGAGCATCATCTCTTATACATTTGAGTTGTCTGATAATTCATTTGAATGTGAAATGTGCCATAATAACTCACCTCTATTCTCAACAACTTGCTAATGGACCACTTCTCATTTCCGAACCTTTTTGGCTGTGTTGTAGCTTCATCACATAAATCCAGGGCTTGTGTGCTCCGATCTGAATCAGAGGAATTCTCCATTTCCTCCTGATCCTTGTTGGTAGATTGGTTTTGGAGATAACTTGCTTGGCGGAGGGAACCAGACAGTCGCCTAGGTCTCTGAACCCTCAGTTCACCTTCATCTTCTTCGCTCTCTTCATCTACCATCACCTCTTTTGTGTCCACTTGAATTTGGAAATCCTCCTCCTCTTCTTCTCCACTTTTGCTTCCTTCGGTTTCATCTTCCTGCCATGACTCTTCCTCTATGGTCTCCAAACATGGCCTCTGTTCCTCCATTTATAGTTTTTTTTTAGAAACACAGCAGAATTACCAGAACACCTTTCGATAAATGAATATAAAAAAGTGGCTTTGAACTCACATTTTGTTCCATGTGGCTCGAGGACTGAGCTTTTCATGTGAGGATCCTGATCGTAGGTTGTAATTAGTTGATAATTCAAATCAGGTGAGAGAGCTTGATTGCAGACAGGTGACAGGTGGAAATGCTTATCCTTTGTGACAAATAAAGCAATGTAACCTGAGCCAATGATTCCATAAAAACACGGTGTTATAATAAATATATTTCTTAAAAAGAGTTTTTAAAATGGTCACACTTTTTTAAAGGGACACATGCGGCTTTCACACCAGCGCTTTTCCCTTTCTAGCTCCGAGCTAGAGCTTTTCTGGTTCAGCTCCGGTTTCCCTTTTCTGCTCCCGCTCTGTTAACACAGCCGGGATGGTGCTGCCGCTGCTGCGTCATGACGTCACCGTTTACATCGCTGATTTGCTCCCCAACGGCGCTCACAACAACGGGGGACTGCGTGGGGTCGATGATCGTGTTGCTTTTAATCATACGAAGCCAGATTAAATTAAATAACGACTTCTCCAACCTTATACTTTTCTCCAGAGTGCCGTGGTTCATTGTTTATTAATGTGTTTCAGCGGCATTTACCGACCGCTGCAGTGCTGGCTGTTCTTCCACGGGAGTTTATTCTCCCGTTAGCTCCAGGTTAGCTCACACGGCTCTAAAGTATTCACTGTCTGACTGTCACACAAGCAGCTGATACATATCCCCAGTTCCCTCGAATGTGTGTCAGTCTGAATTGACGCTGTTTGGCATCACAACGCTGTTATGAAAGTTTCTCTGGTATAACATGGGTGATGTTAGCATAGCAACCGAAGCTAAACTGACTACTTGCTAAGCCGTTTTCTACAGACACATTTTACCGGCGTATTTTTCATTATGATTCTACTTGTGATAGTCGGACATGACAACCTGCGCAGCCCATGTATTGATTCCATCCGATAGCTGCTATAATACAAAACAAAACGTCTGCCTGCTCCACAATGATCAATAACAGCGAACGGATGGTCAAAGTAAGGTACAAATAAACAGAATCACACGAAGCCTGGTTAGTGTTGCCTGACTTTATAAAGTGGTTTTTTTTTTTTATAAGTGTGTGGTTGCCTTCTAGTCACTTTGCTGAGTTTGCTCAGCGCTACTGCTTGTAGGCAGGCATGACGAGACTCTTCAGTCGACCCATGTTCAGGGGAGGTGGGTTTAGTTTCCTGCACGCCTCGACGTAAGCGACGCCGCCTCTTAGCTCCAGAGTCTTGCTTCTAGACCGACAATTTTTTGGAGCTGGAAACGAACTGGATTCCGGAGCTAAGAGGCAGCGCCGCTGCGGTGTGAACAGGAAAAACCGGTACTTTTCAGGCTCTAGCTCCGAGCAGGCGCTGAAAACGCGTTGGTGTGAAAGGGCACACATTTCAGTGTATAGGCCTACCCCATAAGGAGGTGACCAGTGGCGGCCGGTGGTCTTTTTTTTTGGTGGGGCTCTTGACGTACCGCAAGTGACCTACCCGGGGGGTTTCCCCCCGAATTTTTTTTTCGAGAAATGACCCCTTAAATGATGACTTCTGGTGATGTTAGAGGGGGGGGGAAGGAGAAATCGAGGCTTAAAAATATGAGAAGACTGATCAATACCTCCATAATCTTCAGTGTGGAAAATATTATTTATCAACCTGAACATCTACTACTTTACCAGGAATTTGTGTTCTCAGAACTGGTCTGTTTTTTTCTTTCTTAAAACTGTTCATGTTTTATGAACCAACACCTTCACCAAGTAGCTTTACAGTGAACTGCATGTGAGATATAAAATTAATAGCATCTTTTCAGTAGCATTAATTATAAATATTTAAGTGGTTCAATACAAGTCACTACAGCATTTCAAACTGAACTGTGAATAAATGCAATTTAAAAAAAAATAACCACAGCACAAAATGTCATAAATTGTGTTTTTTTCTTTGTTTCTCTGAGGATTATTTACAAACAGGCTTATTTACATATATCAATAACTCAGAAATGAAAAAGCTACATCGTCTAACACGAACAACCAGTTAGCATAATGATAATATATGTGTTATGTACAATGTATCTGGCAAGGCTAGAGCAAGAAAGAACATAAAGTTTGCAAAAGGTTTAAATAACTTCAAGTATCTGTCTTCAGATTACGTGGAGGTTTTAGTCCGATGGGAAGCAGATTTTAAGCGACACCGAAGATAAACCAAAAATGTGGTGGAGCTGCAAACCGTGTAGTGTTGCTGGGACAGAACAGGAGCTATAACCGTTGGAAAATACATCACAGACAATGCAACAAACGTGGAGACAGAACAATCACTTCTGTGATAAATGCCCACTTATTAATAAACTTCTAACAACCATGGGAAACCTCCTCTCTACATATAAAGTGATATCCAAGCATGGGAAACAAAAGACAGCATTTACCTGTTTGCATCCAGCTAGCCAAGCCTTTCTTGTGTACCAGCTACTTGTGAAGCCTCGTGTATAAATGTTGTCTTTTTCACGAGATTGCTGCGATATATTCAAATCGGGTTGGTCCGGTGCAAGGTCTTTAAGCAACAATTTATCTGCCAAACTTCTCCTTTCGAAAGGATTGGAGATTAGCTCTTGAACAGAATTAGGCGCGGACCGAGGTCCGGAGACTCCACCTG